AGGCCCCTATTGGGCAACCTCTGATCATATGGTATGTTATATACCGAGCCTACTGTGGCCGAGCACCTATGAGCAAGCCCATAATGGCTGAGATACAAAGCCAAGTATGGCCGAGCGCCTATGAGCGAGCCTACTTCGACAGAGAAGTTACACGTTCCGAGCCTTATAGGGCTGGACATTTATTTTACTTACTATATTGAGAGAGATGAGTCAGTACCAGTAGGTAAGTATATCACCAGATCATCTTTGACTCCCAGTTACTTTCAGTTATCATATTATCAGTTCAGTTTCAGCTTTCAGTTATTTTATTGCCTTACATACTCGGTAAATTATTTCGTACTGACGCCCCTTTTCTGGGGGCGCTGCATTTCATGCGTGCAGGTTCAGTCATATAGACGGGTAGACCTCCTCAGTAGGTGTTGCCCGAGTTCAGCCTGATCGGTAAGCTCCACGTCCTTCGGAGTTGCGGGGTCTTGAGTTTTGTGTACATCTTATGTATATATGTATATATGTTATGGGTAGGTCGGGGCCCTGTTCCGATCACAATACATCCATCAGTAGAGGCTTGTAGACATATCCTGTCAGTTAGTGCAGTATGTTGGGCTTGTAGGCCTTGTATGTATATTTTGTTGGTTTGTCAGCTGTAATAGTTATGACGGTCTTGTCGGCCCAGCGTTATATTGACGTTTAGTCAGCGTTAGTTTCCATTCAGTTTTATATTTTGCTTCGTAAATTGTCTTGCAATGCGGCCCATGGCCAAAGTATGACATTATATGTTCAGAGTCCCTTAGTCGCAAGCTGGTACGCAAGGTTAGGTGAGGCACCAGTTGCCGGACTCGCCCCCAGGTTCGGGGCGTGACAAGGAAATGGGCCAACTATTTACAATTGAGCTGCCGGTCCATCTTTGGTTATTTTGAGCCAAGACTTTGTCACCCATTTGATTTTAAATGGCCATTGGACCAGTTGATTAATTATGTTGGGTTGCTGAATTTATTTTAATTTTAGCGCACGTTCCAAACAAAATCTAACCAAAGAAAATATTATTTAATAACTACAAGGCATGTGTCATTAACTACACTCTAGCAATTGATATGAACTAGAATAAAACACTTGGTTCCATTTTCTCAAATTCCAAAAAACAAAGAAAAGAACGTAACTTGACATGAAACTTCTAAAGAACTAAAGATAATTTCTCAACTTAATCTAAGCTATCATGTTAAGAACTCTAAAGGACCAATAATTTAATCTTAAAAAAAAAAAAACGTTACAACACTTTTCCCTTTTTCAAACAATGTAGTCACTTGAGATTATTTTTTTCAACATTTAAGGAGAATGAAGCAATTAACAGAGAGATACAAAATAACTCTGCTCAAACAATAGCAAGATGTAGTTCAAATATTTTGGCTCCCAAATAGCAATAAACAAAACTTTCAGTAGACACACATAATCTTCTTCTATCTTCAAATGCTCATTTCTACTTAAGAGACCTTAAAGAAACTTAATAATTTTAAAAAAAGAAACTTTAACATGCAATCTTCTACTTAAACTAAAAGAAAGGGAGAGATAGGCCACTATTCTGCTTATGTGATAAGATGTCTTAAATTACTAAGTGTAGTTTCAATGACCAATTTTCAGCTTAAACATACACATTTACTCTAAACTTTTAGCTATTAGAAGGTTTTAAAAACCTATCTTACAGTCACCTGTTCCTTAAACTAAATTGTGTCATTAGATGAGATCTACCAACACAGCCTGTTAGCAAATGAAGCAATCATCTATGACTTTTAACTTAAAAGGAAACTAGAAGAGACTAAAACTTGAAGGAAACAGCGAACACATGTTCATGAAGTTTACACATTTATTCAATCATCTACTAAGGAAATAAAGTCAAGACATGCTAGGAATCAGATTCATAACATCATGCTTTTGATTTATTTGCACCAGAGGCTACATTAAAAAGGCCAGAAGAATACCTAGATTGCAGATTCGAAAGCATACAGCAATAACGGACTTCGCTTCGTCTACCACTATCTAATATGGTAATAAACCCAGCAAACAGCAACAAAACTAGCAGCAACAGCATTTAAAACCAGCCCACGAAACTCAGAAATAAACCAAAGAACACAACAGATTTTGAATGAACTAAACTAAGAAAATAACTCCAAGGTCATTAGTGTTTTTTGAACATTTTCTCTCAACAATCTTGCTTATAACTCTCAAGTTTCAGCTACTCCTTTTTACTCTCAAAGATGTGTGTTTTTCTTAGAGTCCAAGATGTTTTCTAAGTGTCATAGAGTGTGTGTGAAGTGAGGAAAGAGCAGCCCCTTAAATAGGAAAATAAGGTCACTTTTTGGACAGATTTTGGTTCACCAAAAGTCTGTCCAAAAAAGACTGACTTTGTGTGCTGAACATTGTTCAAAGGCTGTCCAAGAGGTGAAAAGACAGCCTGAAAATCTACTATACAGAAGCAAGGAGAAAAATATTATTTCAGCTACCCTACTAGTAAAAAGTAGACTACTAGTACCCTATTTTATGATAAAATTATCTAAACTTCAGATTTTAACAACATCAATATCACCCTATTGGTTTTGAACCAAATTAAACTGAAACAACTAAAAATTGACAAAACAGAAACAAGATTTCAAATGGAACTAAAATTTAAACTAACATAGAACAAACAACTGAATTTACAAGTTAACGCTCAAAACAGAAATTAGACGAGCATCGTTAACAATCGGACGATGACGTTCAACAACTAAACAATCGACTCACTAAGTAAACGATTCGACGATACTAAGATCAGTTTGGTCGATGATAATCTAATAAACAACTAGGATAAATAGAGATGACTAATTTAAATAAACCTAACTTGAGAGTCTAGTTAACAAACAACAAACCAAAAATAGAAAAATCAGAAATTAACCTACTTATATAAAAAACAATCAGAATTTAATTGAAAGGATGACAATTATACCTAACGAGCGTTCTTGAAACTGTTCCAGCCACGAGAAGACACCGAAGATGCCAAGAGGCGGCTGTCCGACTCCGAAATGCACGTTTCTTTCGGGCATACGCTAAAATGAAAGGGTTTCGGCATCTTGCCAAAAAGAACCGTAGGTCTTTGAGTCGATAATAGCAAAAATAGAGGTTCGGGGCATTTGGTGGTTGGCGGATGGAAGTAGAGGTGGAGGCCGGCGGTGGTGAAGTTTTTTTAGGATTTGAGTTGGAGATTTAGAGAGAGGAGGAGAAAAGGAGGAGGTTATGCGATTTTGGTATAGATTGGAGGCGTTGAGCGACGACACCAGTGGTGGCAGCGCGATTAGGCTTTGGTTTTGCCATTTTTCAGTAGGGATTTAGAAGATTTGGATTGTGAATCTAGAAAGAGGGTGAGGAGAGGAGGTCGCGATGTGAATTTGGGGGTGTTTGGAGGTCTGCTGCCACCGGTGGATGATTTCCGGCGGTGGATCAGGGTGGCGGTGTGGAGCGGCAGAGAGGAAGAAGAAAGGAGGGGAGAGTAATAAGGGAAAAGGGGCAAAATTTTGGCTAAACTGGGCTTTAAATGCCTAGGGTGGAAAACAATGAGAGCCGTTGGATTTGGGAAAGATTAAGGGCTGGGATTTGATCTCACCCGCTTAACCAAAACAACGTCGTTTTGGTGTCTTCCAGGCAGCCCATTCGAATTGGGTTTTAGAGCTACTAGGCATGTGATGTTTGTCCAATTTTTGGGCCAATTTTGGTTTTAAATAATAAACCCAATCCCTTAACCCCTTTAATAAACTATTTAACATAATCTAACTCTAAAAGCCTACAAATACACACATAATGATCCTAAAAATTATAATGTAGAAGAAAAAGACAAGAGCAAAAATTAGGCATTTACAACCCTTTCACATCGGGCCCAGCATACTCGATTGTTCTGGATTTTTGCAAGAGGTACGAAGTGTGCCTCGGGAAAATCCACCCATCTCTGTGGAGGATCGTGATCCTCCTTCGTTACTTCGTGAACAAGATCGAGTCTAGTCGGTTCACCATCGATCATCTACTCCGTTTATACAGTCCCCGAATGTTCCGAGGGGGACTGATAAAGCTTACTCGCCGGGCCAGTAAGGCCCCCTTTTCGAGCATTGATGAAGACCGAACTGGGACTGGCAGGGACGCTTCATTCAGGTGAAGACCGAAGACTTGATTCCCTCTGAGTTCATGTTATTCCCTAAGAAATGGAACGCATCTGGTAAGTGCAATATCTCCTTAAGCGTCAATTTTTTCTTCAATTATTTTCTTCTCATTCATACTTGTGGTTGTGCAGATGTCGACCGGGTTCCGGGTGCGGTCCCCTAGTTAAAGGAATGGATCAAGGGCATCTGTACACAGATGACGTACTCCGAGCGCGCATGGCACAAACTTTCGAAGGGCCGATGGAAGGCCCGTTCTCATTGTAAGGTCTCTCCTAAAATTGTTAACAGCATGCTTCTAACTTTCATCATACTGACTTTTCTTCCCCTTTGTTGTTGTAGGTTTGCCTAAGACCATCGAACTTAGTCCTTCTGAAGGGGATGAGGACGTGTCCTTGTCCATTGATCCTTCCGTTATAGGAAACCCCGGGGCTGCCGTAGGGGAAAAGAAGAAGATAAAAGAAAAACTTCGGGCTCTTCAAGCCCTGTGGTGAAGCCAAAGAAAGGAGTGGCTCGTAAAACCCAAGAAGAGCTCCAGTTCTCGGGTGCTGGATTCTGATTCGCTTCTTCGGCTCAGGGACAAGTCTGAGGAAGACGACATTTTTATTTTCTATAGAACGACCCTTCATGGGGGCACGTGGTAGCCGAATGGGAGTTCATAATTAGCTTTTTCTAGGTTCTCATGCAGGACTTTATTCTACATTCAACTTTACAAAGATTATCATTAGCAATTTTTAATTCCTTTTCTAGCTTATCTTGCAGATCACTCATTTTGCCTTTGCCATATGTATCAAGAGACTTCTCATTCTCAAAAGTTAATTCAAGGACCTAGTTCTTAAGGTCTTTGACTTGTTTCTCTAAACTAGCTTTGTCAGATTCAAGCTCTTTGATGTCAAGTTTGACACAAGAAAGATTACTGATTAGCAGACCATTTCCATTATTCATTTTATCCATTTCATTCATTAAGGTCACAATTATGGCCATTAGTTTCTTTTTGGACATAGCATGAATATTTTCTTTCAAGTCAGATATACTTACCTGGTTTGTCTCGTCTTTAGTTTTTGAATCACTCAAGGCCACTTCTTCCTCTATTTTTGATTCTTCAATCGCCACCAGAGCAACTTTGATGTTTTCATTTCCAAAGTCAGTTTCCAATGTCCTCTATATATCATGAGCAGAGATGCAAGAGGACACTCTGAAGAGAGTGTTTCTAGACAGATTTCTGTAGAGCAAGTCCTTTGCTTTGGCATTTTTCTAAACTAGCTGATGATCCTCCTCATCGTATTCCTCTTCTCTTTTGTTGCACTTGTTACCTTTACCATCCAATTTGGTTGGGAGAATTGGTCCATGACTGACAATTACCCATAGATCAAAGTCAGTAGCCTGAAGAAATATTTCCGTATGTAGCTTCCATTCATCATAATGGAGTTCATCAAACAAAAGAGGTCTTCCAATGTGCATCCCAAGTTGTACTGGGGGGTCTGTCTTCACAGCTTGGTGTTCGTCGATCACAACATAGAGACTAATAGCCTCATCCTCCTTTTCTTCCTCTTGATCACTCCCACTATCCTCATATGCTGCCAGGAATGCCTGTTTCAAAGCTTCAGTAAATCCTTTGTAAGGCCCCGTAAAAATTTCTACTTAAAACCCGGGAGCTCATAGTGCTAAGTTAGAAATAATGTTTTCTAGAAAAGTGCGTTTATGCGGTCGAGAATGCGGTCGCATAACAGGTATGCAGACCGCATAGTCGCCGCAAAGTGAAACAGTGTGTTGGTCAAATTTGAGGTCAACTATGCGGTCAATTATGCGATCGCATAATCGTTATGCGGACCGCATAGTCGTCGCATAATCCCCTTGGGATTTTGTAAGGGACCGCAGAACGGGTATGCGGACCGCATTTCCATCGCATATCCAAACAATGTCTTCAGATTTTAGGGAGCATTTTGCGGTCCATTCTGCGGACCGCATGTCAGCTTTGCGATCACGAATGCGATCGCAGATTTGAGTCGGGTTCCCATTTTCTAATTTTTAAGACCCGACCCCCTATCGTTATATCTTGTGCAATAACTCATTTTGAGCCTATTTCCTGGTACTTCTAGAGTGAGAAAGAGAGTTTAAGAGAGGGGAAGTGTTGTTCATAAAAAATGGCTCCATAAATCCTTGTTAGACATTGAAGATAATCAAGTGAGGCACCTAAACCTTCATCCCAAGAGGTAAGACTTCATCACCCCAACTCTTAAATTTTAGACATAGACATAAATGGCTCATTAGTGAGGTAATTTATGGGTATAAATATAGATTTCTTGCATGGATACAAGATCATGGAGTATTGGGAAGTTGTGAAATAAAAAGAAAGCAATTAGGGTATAAAATGATAGAAATCTCTCACAAAAAGGACCTAAGATCACAATGCACCCCTAGTGCTCGATAATATGCTCAGACGAGCTAGAATCCTAATCTTGTCCCTAATTCTTGGTTCAATTTGTAATTCTTATATAATAGATCGAAGTGCTAAGAGTTCTGGAATTTCGTAAGGATTAAGGGAAGCTTTATTGAGGTATGTATGGCTAAAACCCCGTCTTTTAGAAATTGAGCTTCATTAAGTGCTTGTGCAAATGTGTTAAGGCTAAAGTTTGGATTCTTGCGTTAACTATTATTTTACATGAATTGATATTGTAATTTTATACGCGTGAAAGATGTGTCGCAACGTAATCAATGTGCTATCTTGATAAATGGAAAGGGGCAAGAGGTATGAATCATGTATTGAAATGCTTAGACTTTAATTTGGATTGAAATTGTGTTGTTGTGCCATCTACTGGGAATCTTATTTATGCTTACAATTTAAATAGCCATTGTGTGCACCTACTGTCCTAAATGGCAAAGCTAATATTGTAATTGGGAATAATGTCAAATGTGGCCTAATGCCAAGAATGATGTGATAAGTTGTGGCCCCAAGTGCCTATGAAATGATATATGTGAAATGAAATGACTAATGAGAAAGGAACAACGCCGTGGTAAGGCAGCCTAGCCGATCGGGCCGTGATCGGATGCCATGCCGCACACATGGTGGTATTATGCTGAAATTGAATTCCGAAAAAAGGGAAAATGAGATTGTGATTGAAGCGTATGCCTCAAAGGAGGCAACCTAGTCGATCGGGTCGAGATGGACTCCGCTCAAGATAGCGGTGGCATTGTGAGCAATGATGAATAATGTGGAATGCCCTAAACTAAAAAACTATGGAAAAATGATGTGAAAGTTGTATGATTCCTTTATTTGATAACGTTGTGATAGTTTAAAGCCTTTGAGTTATACTTGTGATTTTCTTATTCTTGTATGAAACTTCTTTCTAATTAGATGGTGTTTAGTTATACATACTAGTACTATTCCATGGTACTAACGTCCCTTTTGCCCGGGGCGCTACATTTTTAAATGAATGTAGGTGGTTCTATAGCGGACAGTGCCGATCACGCATAGCGGAGTGTCCTTCTCCCGAAGACTTGGTGAGCTCCTGTTTCCTTCAAGGAGCTATGATGTGCTTCTTTGTTGTAGACTTCTATTTTAAGGTATAGCCGAGGCCTTGTTGCCGGCATTGTCATAATTCGTCTTTTGTATCCATAGAGGCTCCGTAGACGTTGTGTGGGTTATGTATGAGTGTTGGTTGGGTTAATGATCTGTGTTATAACTTTATTCCCTAGCCCGCCTAAGCAATGGCTGTATAAAACTCTTGGAGACTTAGCCATGACTTAAGATGTGTGATATAAAAATGAACTAACAATGTTGAATGCTCAAGTATGCTATTGTCTAATTAATCGAAAGCCGGATTCCCTAATCATATTGAGTTGGGTAGAAAGGGTCAATAAGGCTTGCTCAGCTGGGTTCACTCGATTGAGCGCCGGTCGCGCCTCCTGAGGTTGGGGCGTGACATCCTTTGCCTAGAATTTTCCCTTTGTTGGAACCCTTCTCTCTCATCTTCTCTCATTTCTCTTTTCAGCTCGTTCTTTTCTTCGCTCGATTTCCCACATTGGACACTCCTTTACCATGTGATCTAGTTTGCCACACTTGTAGCACCCATTATAATTAGCTTTGTCGATTTACTTGTGCTTATTGCTCCTCTCTCTCTTGGATACACTTTTGAAATTCTTCATGAACTTCTTGCACTTGGCAAACATTGCTAGATCGGGATCATCATAGTCAGATCCATCATCCTCAGACGCCTTAAGGAGCAAGGCCTTATCCTTCTTTGGTTCTTCTTTACACAGTTCCATCTTTCTCATTTCATGAGATTTTAAGTTTCCAACCAACTCATCAAGTGAGATTTTATCCAATTCCTTGGCTTCCTGGATTACAGTGACTTTTGATTCCCATGAAGCTGGAAGGATTCTTAGGACTTTGCTAACCAACTCTTCTGAGGTAATCACCTTTCCAAGTTATTTCAGTTTATTGGTTATTATAGTGAACCTAGTCATCTTATCGTGGATGTGCTCAGACTCCTTCATGGAGAAAAGCTCATAGTTTCCCATGAGTACTTCAATTCTTGATCTCTTAACTTGATTTTTTTCTTCATGAGCAGTTTCGGGTGCATCCCAAATCTGCTTCACATTAGAGAATACAGAAATTCTGTTGGACTCATCAAGACCAAGTCCACATATAAGGATTTTCTTAGCCTTTGCATTCTTCTCCATCATTCTGAAATCTGCTGCCACAAATTCGGAGGGGTCTTTAGGAACTGTTTCACTTTATGCATTTTGTTTAGTAGGAATCAAAGGACCTTGGTATACTATGATCCATAGTTCATAGGTTTGAGCTGTCAAGAAATCTTCCATTCTTGCTTTCCACCAACTGTAATATTTTCCATTGAACATGGGTGGTCTGGTAGTTGATTGTCCTTCATTAATTCCAGGCGGAGCACTCATCTTTCTTTGAAGATCTCTCTAGGTGTTAGCCGTATAAATGAGAGAACCTCTTATACCAATTGTTAGTTTGAGTGCCCGTATGAATTACTAAAGAACTTGGTTCTTTACCGTGTTCCTTAAGCTAAAAGTAAACAAGTAATAAAATGAACACAATGATTTTTACGTAGAAAATTACTCGACTGAAAAGGTGCAAAAACCACAACCTACCAAGTAGGATTTTTAGCTCAAACTCCACTAGAACAATGAGCCAAAATGTATCAATTACAATACTGTGATTAAATACTCTCCAGTACTCCTACTACTCCTATTTGATTCACAAATAACTCTAACTTGTAACACCAAACACTCACTGCAACTCACTAATTGTTTATAATACTTGATTACAACTCAATTTCCTGAAATATATTTACTAGATTAACTCGGAAAGAGTACAAGACAAGTACTAAACACAAGTGAACCACTTGATGACTCTTTGATGTGTAAAAGGATAGTTCAGAAGTCCAAACTCAATCCTATTTAAACACGACTTGAGATCTTCTTGGAGTCATATTCATAGTCAGCTTCCTCTTCAATAAGACTCCTACTGTTCTAAGAATTCCACAAGCTTTGAGACTTTTGTCTCTGATTGACTTATCCATATCTTCTTGAGCAACGACCCTTATGACTTACAGCAGTCATCTTCCATCAAACTCGGACCTAGTAACTTTGAGATAAAGTTAATGTCTTGTACAAATGTACAAGTAGCAATCATGAGGAGCTGATCCTTTAACTTGAGAAGCTGGTTCTTCACAACAGTTAAGCAGCTACATTGAGGACCTGGTTCTTTGAGTAGTTAGTCACATTTTGTTAATCATCAAAACTTCAATACTCAATAGTCTGCATACACACTACCCTCCCCAGACCTCATTCATGGGATTATACTGGGTTCGCTGTTGTTGTTGTCGTTGTTGTTGTTTTGAGATGATTGACTTGTGGATAGGCTATCCATTGAGATAACTATATGCAAACACTGATGATGTGATGTATTTTTCGAGAAGCCCACAGAAAATATGCTTTACATGGCCCATGGGCGTGTATGTTATAACTTAGGTAATCGTTTTCTAGTGTTACCTTGAATAGAAAACGATTGTGAACATAAGTCATTTTTCTTTAAAGTCTGAATTTTGTTTGCATATTACTTCGCATAAAATGCAAAGTTGTGGTTTGGATTAGGATTTCGTGATAAGTTATGGAGTGTCTTCAAAATGGTAGTCATTGGCATTTGCATTTTATGGACAATGCAGTTGTACTTGATAACTAACTTTAATTTGGTTTGTTTCTCCAAACAAATTTGCATGCAACTTTTGGTTTGGCGCCATACTGCGATGTTTGTTTTGGCAAGCTGCACGAAGAGGCGTGTTAGGGAGGAAAGGAAAAGGCACTTGAACTATAGCTATTTAAATTTGGATTGTTTGGGATTTCATCAATATAGAACTTAAGTCATTTAAGTTTGGTCTTGGTTGTTTATCATCTGTATTCTAACTGCTTTACTTTGATATTTAGTCTGACCTCTTTGTTAATTGAAGTATCTGATATATTATCTATAGATTTCTAAATTTAGTAGTTTTTGAGAACATTTCAATCTCTGTAGTTATAAGCTTTCTACTTTGTGAAGTGATCTGACATCTTTGTTAATATTAGTATCTGATAATGTTTAGTTGTTGCCGAACAGTCTTGAACGATCTTGTATTAAAAGATATATGTCACGACCCCGGTTCGCCCTCAGTGAACCATCGTGACGGCACCTAGTCTCTACGACTAGGTAAGCCTAATAATGCGGAATATAAACAACAATTGCGGAAGAAAAAATTTAAAAACCGAAATAGCAAAATAAAACAGTGTTTAAGATGCCGTATGGCACATAACAGTACAAAATCTCAACCTAACACTCCCAAAATCTGGAACCCCATGAATCACAAGCTAAGAGATACATAAGAAGCTCTAACTCCAGAAACGTCTAACAAAAGGAAAACTACTAAAGGGCTATACTATTACAGAAAGATAGAAAGGGACTCCTCGGTCTGCGGACGCGGCAGATATACCTCGAATTCTCAACAGAAGCGCCTCGCCTCAAGGATGATAAGACTGAGTGAAAGTATCTGGATCTGCACAACAAAAATGTGCAGAAGAGTAGCATGAGCACACCACAGCGGTGCCCAGTAAGTATCAAGACTAACCTCGGTAGAGTAGTGACAAGGAACAGTCAAGACACCTACCGGTCCAATAAACTGTACAAATATAGGAACAACGGAACATGATGTATGTATAAAAACTACACGAAATGGCTAACAGTACTACAATCACAATAAGGGAAGAAAACAGCAAGTAACAGCGGAAATACAAAAATAATGACATAGAAGAGCGAGCGAAAACGCAAACCCAAAATCCTAAATTCACACTACAGTAAAGGTAAGCAATAACTCAGGTCCTGCGACAGTGTTCACATCAGGTCCTATCCAACAATTTCCACGAAGTACCGAATCTCGGATAAATTACAGCTCACGATGTCGCCATGCAAATACTTGAAATCTAACACTTGGCAACCTGTGCCCCCATCAACCTCATGGTCATGCTGACAACTCACTTGCTAACTAGAGCCACTCTCACATATATAACAAGTAAACGAGGGTGTACATCTATAGTCAGCAAAATCAGGAGGACTTCACGTCCAATAGGAGTGTTCAACTACGTGTATGCTTGTGCAAGTACTTTAACATAGTTCCTACCAGCTAATAAGCGTAAGGAAAAGAACGGACAGCACGTAAGATGTTTCCTCACAACTTCCACGAGATAAAGCTCGTACAGGTAAGCGTACCACAACACAATATTAAACAACAAGAATGCCCCCAGGTCATCACAAATTATCACAATCAATCCCTGACATAGCCCACATTGTCTCCCACGTGTGCAAATAATAACATAATGAGTGCCCGCCTTGTTTCACCACACGTGCATCATAATGTTCCCACCTTGTCTTGCCACATGCGCAACCCACATATAAGCATATATATATACATACCTCGCCTTGTCACGCTGCATGTGAAATATATCAATAGTAGCGATAGCACGGCAAAAATCTCGTGCAACCCCATAACAACAGCCGCACGGCAAGAAACCTCGTGCATCACAATATCAACAACTGCACGGCAGAAACCTCGTGCACCACCACAACAAGTACAATAGCAACAATGACAATATATATAAGAACATGACAAGTAAATCAACTCAAGAACTTTCGATCACAAGGAGACGGTAAAACTAGCTCACAAGGAATAACCACAATAGAGAATACTAAGCGTGATAAGAACAACTCAACAAGGGAGAAAATAATATGAAGCAACGATCCCACAATATGTAATTCAACAACAAGGAAGCTAACACGAATCAAATAATTCCAAATAAGGAAATGTCCACTAAATATAGATTATCTAAACTTCTTTTAAGGTTGGCAATTTACGAAGAATATACAATAATTTCCATTAAGTATGAGCAGCGGGAAGATAATCATCACCTCAATCAAGACTAAACAATTACATGGGAGATAATAATGATTTCCAATAAAGACGAGCAACTATGAAAGATAGCATGACAATAGAAGAGGTAAAAATCTTCAGTTAAGCAAAATAAGAGTCAAATAGTCAATAAGAATGAATCATGAGCAATTAATTCCAATTAGATCATGTAGAGGTGAAACTAGTAAGTGGAAAACTCAAGCATATCAAGTACACGTTCATACACAGTGAATATAAGGACCTAAGAATCCTAAAAGGCCAATTTTTCCACAAATAAGTCCGAGCATGCACTCTTCACCTCGCGTACACGAACTACAATCAACACAGCAGACTCAAATCCTATGGGGGAAGTCCCCCCACACAAGGTTAGGCAAGATATTTACCTCGAACCGGCTCAAAATCAACCCGAAATCACGTTCTTGCCACGAGAACTCAACTCCAAATGGCCCAAATCTATTCAATTCAATTGCATAGTGTAAATAACACTTCAAATAACTGATTCTACAAACAAATTCTAAGCTAAT